ATTAGAGTTAATTCTGTACATTGGAGGCTGAGGACTTTTAAAACAGAACCAAATGGATATTTGGCAGAATGTGGCTGAATGAGTCGGTAAGAAGGGAGAGCAACAAGCAATGTGACATCTGTTGTTGGCATTAGTTAAGTGCAGATGCTGCTTTCTTCAGCTCTCCTAACCTTGTCTGAACCAGTAAATTTTGTTTGGGACAAAATTCTGGAATGGGAAAATCATCCTGAATGTAAATGTTTCCACCTGTGATTCAGTCAAGTGACCCCACTGCCGGCAGAGCCTTGCCAAGATGCTAGATTATCGTTTCTTATTGACGATTAACATTTGAACCAGCCACTAAAATGATCAGAAGATTGACTTATATTAATAAAGCAAAGATTAAATAGATAAAGCAAAAGGCACTAAACTCATTAAAATTTTCAGCAACTTGTTATAAGCGTTTGTGTGGTGACGTTATTGGGACAACTGAAGCTTCAAAATTCTTAGGTAAGTGAATGTGAAGAGGTAAGTTTTTAAGATGTATTTTCAGGTCTGCAACTTACACCATTTCCTAACACAAAGGTACTTCGTGAACATGCTTTTCAGCTCGACGTTTCTGAGGCAAGCGCTGGCCCTGAGCTCCAGCCAGGGAAAGTCTTTCCCTGGATGCGTCCCGCCCAGGCCAGGGAGCCGGGCGGCCCTGGGGCCTGGCTCTGATGGAAGAACTGGGCCTGGCCGCTGAGATCCCCTGCAAATCTCAAAGTAGGCAAAAAGTAGGGGATTTATCCCGATTTGTCTGACACAGTTATTGGCCAAGCACTCATGTCATGGATTTGGCCTAGAGGCCCCCACTGAGCTAAAAGGGAATTTTACTTGAAAATGAAGCTGACACCCACTGGAGTGAGTGGGACCAACCTGTCCTGCGTTAGACCTGGATATTGCTGCTGGATTTTACCTGGAGGCCCAGGGCGCCTTGAACAGGGGTTCATAAATTGCTGAAGATGCCAAGGTCTGCTGCCTACAGGAAGAACGTGCCAAAAAACGGTAGGAGCAGCATTCAGCCGTTCCATTAAACTGTGTGACCCGCCGAGCACAAGGTGTGCGGGAGGAAGCTGCGTAGGTTGGGCATTTTCCTGACTTCTCTTCCGTGGTAAATCATTATTCTGGGCTCGAGAAAACAGGCAGAGGCCTTTGACAGACTCTGGCCCCACGGCTGCGTGCGAACACAGACGGACATGGGCGAGTGAGAAGCAAGCAGGTCTGGAAGAGTGGAGATAAGGCAGGTGTCCAAGAAGGCTGGATTTTCCTATGCTCAAAGCAGAGGAGGAGGAATATTGGGAAAAACATAATGTAAACGCATACGGTAAGAGCATTGTAATTCCAAGAATGAAGTGGTGGTTTAGCGCATAAGGAGACGGAACAACGCCTAAAGCCATGTAGCTGCAGTGCCATGTTTGAAGGAGGCCCATTCCAGGATCGTAGTGTCTAATTTTAGACAGTCTTCCACTTCATCATTTCCTGATGAGAACCAGAATAATCTTTGCTTTTTTAATCTCAGTACTTCCTGCAATAAAGTAAAGAAATAATAAAGGAGAAAAAAAATAGAAAAAAAAAAAAAGAGAGAGAGAGAGAAAGAAAGCCTTGGAGGACAATAGTTTGGATTTTCCCTGAAGCTGGGCCTGCTGCTTGGCTAACAGCCGCTAACTCTGACTGGGACAGCATGGAGCTGCCGCCCCAGTGGACAGAGTCACAGTCGGAGCCTCCTCCTGCGCTCAGTGTCTGGAGGGCCGCGGAGGCTCCCTGCCCACAGAGCCTCCTGCCCTGGATCGCAGCGATGCGGCACTGCCGCGCAGCAGGGCTTCCCGCGGGACATTGGACCAAGCGCAGATGTGTCTTTGCTTCAGCGCCTCTGCTGCCAAGCCGGGCAGTGGGACTTCCCCATCCCGCAGGATACTCGAGGACATGTGCGGGAAGCGGAGCCAGGCCCTCCCGCCTGCGGGAGAGGCTTCCCGGCCTGCACCGAGCGCGCGGCCGCGCATCCCGCAGGCTGCAGGCCCACCCAGTGGAGAGGCAGGAGATAGCAACCCCCGCCAGCGGCGCACGACGGCTCCCAGAGGCCACCAGCACCCAGCGCTCCTCCAGGGACACCAACACACACGAGATGTGACCTCTTTTAGCAGCTCTGCTTCCAGGGTATAACATATTTGAAACCTTACCCCAAAGCACCCGCTGTTCTTTGAGCCAAACTGGTTACTAAAAACCAAACCCAAACTTTTAGTTCCTAGCACTGCTGTGAGCTGGCGCGCAGTGAGCGCGCTGGTGACAGGGCTCTCCTCCCGCTGCCTCTCGCCGGCTGCCCCCCAGCCCGGCCTCCGCGCGCTCCCGAGCGAGCGTTGAGCACGGCTGTCCCGAGAGCCAAACCCCAAACTGTGCCGGCATCCCTCCTCCTGGAGCTACTCATCCACCACCCAACACTAACACCCAGCAAGAGCAGACACCAATACAGCTTCCACGGCTGGAAAGTGTGTGTTTTATCCATGGATGCATCATGGTGTCCACTTAGACTGACCAAGGTCCTGCCTAAAGAAACAAATTGAACCACAGGCAGCAATTGCTTCCTAGCAAAGCAGTGACCTGAAAAGCAAAGTTGCTGTCAAAACATTGCTTTTGAATGGATTAACTGGGAAAGGTAACTTGAAATCAACTTCTGTAGAGGGCAAGTCACTTGGAGAGTGGGTGTGGCAGCAATACTGATTTTCAAAAAGCAGTCCCAGCATTCACACTTGAGTGCTTCCAGCAGAGCAGCACGAAAATGACATGAGATAATGCAGGATGGAAGCAAGAAATACTCATCTGAAAACTAGGTGAGAATTTTAATAGATCATGAGGGAGATTTCAGATTTAGAAGATAAAAAAAAGTCTAAATACTGAAGGCAAATGTGGGTGTAAAGGTTTAAAGAATACAATCCTATCATCTTATGTGATGGTAAGGTTAAACTGTGTGAAACTTTACTGAAATTGAAGTAAGAGCTAGAACTACATTATGGAAAAATGCTGGATTTCATTTTGGAAAGATAATGAGCAGAGTCAATGTAGAGTGAATATTAACTAACCTACTAAAAATTTGAGATATCAGTTTAGGTATTATATTGTTTTTAAAAAACTCTCTATAAATAAAACTGTTAACCTTCTACTCCCATCCACTTCTTCCTCCACTCCCCAAATTCCTCAATTAAAAATGCACTGCTAAGAGCACAAAGTTCTCCCAAAACTAGTCTAACTTCATTGCTCGAGTAGGGAATAGCTGCTATGTCAGAGCACGGACTTAATGAGCATGTGTAATTGCCTTTAGATGTTCAGCCCAAACTCAGCAGTTCCACTGCCCACATTTCACCGGAGCAACTTTTAAGAAATTAAATGCATTTATGTACACAAGGTAAGATTAATTAGCATACTTCACAAAAATATAGTATTTAAACATTAGAGCGGGATGTACTCAAAGTATGCGAGCTTTTGTATTTATTAGAACCTTTCTGCTTTTCATTAGGCCTCATTAGTAAATTTATTTACACAAATAAATGTAATTTGTTTGCACAAATACAGGATGTTGTGCTCCATCAGCAGATAACGTTCATCACTAAAGAACTTTGTGCACAAAGACAGCTGGGGTCCGCTTATCGAAAGAAAATCCGAACTACAAAGTAGACAGAAAAATATTAGACTAAAATTCAACTTGCCCATTTTTATTTAGGATGACACTTCACAATAAAATATTAAAGCAGAAAATTATGTTGGAAACGAACTAAAGTTTTTTTTTTTTTTTAATGCATCCTACTGTGCTTTCCACACCTCCAAGACACACAAGCAGGAGTTGGCTCGGGTCAGTAACTCCGAGAGACACTAAAAAGAGGTATTTTTATTTTTAGGGCAAGGTGAAGAAATAAGGGAAAAGAAAAAAAAAAAAAGTATCTGTGCTGTCCCTTTGAAGCTACCACCATGTAACACTTGGATGAAAGGTGACCTTCTAGTAAATTTCCATTTAAATGTATATGTATATATATATAAATATATATTTTTATTTACTTCCTCCTCCTATACATGATTATCTTGTCTCTCCAAGTGCAGGCAGCTCCAGTGGTGTTTCCCGAGACTGCCCCAGGAGCCCTACCAGGAGGTGGTACCATTGGGTATTTGGTCAGTGATGCAACGCTGGAATGCAACACTAGGACAAGCCAAGTCTGAAAAACAAGCAAACAAACAAGCTGTGTCCTTTCCTTACATACTTTAGGACTTAGCGAGTCCTTATGGGGAGACAACCCTTTTTGCTTTCTCACTTCTACTTTGAAGATTAAATATTTGTGATTGAAGGAAATATCAAATCCAGTAACTGAATTATAGTTTTAACTAGTATTTTGCTCTCATTTGAAAGTTCTTATTTTAAAAAATGAAGTTCATTCAAAGGAGAGAAAAAGAGAATGACCATAAAAAGTAAACACCATTTTCAAAATTTAAAGACAATTTAATCAATATGCCTTAAATTATGTTTATAGTAACTGCAATACTGACAAGCACAACATTTTCAAAATGGTGTTTTCCTTGGAAGTACTGCAAAAGGTATTTTTCCTCAATAACTAATATATGGATTACTAAGTAATTCTAGATGAAGTCAGCTTCATAAATCCAAGCTAACACATAGCTTTGACTTTTAAGCATGTCTTCTAATTCATATTGTAAATATTCAAAATCCTGAAATACTATCACCGTAAATGAACACATAAGAGACCAAAAAGCTTAAGAGCATATTTGTTGTGATATACAAAATATTCTAATTGCTTGAGTTCTTTTGTGGATTTTGTTTTTTGTAAGAGGGGATAAGAAATAGGTGGTTATTGCAGATTTATTCAAAGAGAAACTCAGATTTACGTCTGTGGTTTTATTTACCTTTGCTGATAAAAATCTATCATCAAGGACATTATAACTGCAGCCTTCCTCCCTCCCCTACTCATCATCCCTCTCCCCCCCCACCCCAAAAATAACCCTCAAATAAACAAAAGTTACTTTTCCAAAGATTTAGGAATGGGAAAGAAATTACATTAACTTTATAAGCGTGAATACTTATTAAAGCTATAGACACCTTAGGTCAATTGAAAACAGTATTCAAAGTCCTAAAAAAGTGAACAAAAGACATTTGTTCCCATTGTTCCAAATGATTCAAACCAGGTCTAAGTTTCATGATAGCAGTATTATATAGCTGTTTGCAGCTGCTTCTGGTCCAGCTAAATGTTCCAAGTTGATCTTTTCATTTTGGCCCACTGGAGTCCAATAATTCATACAGTCTATTCAAAACACAGAAATGAGAGCAAAGACTCCATACAATAAAGCACAGGGGTATGCTACTAGGAGTTGTTGTCCTTCCATTGCTAAGGCAGAAATAAAGATTTTGGAAGCAGAAAAACTGCACCAGCCAATAATTCCAGCAGTGAGAATAATCCCCATCATGCCCCTGTAAAATGAAAACAAAACAAAGCAATCATTTAAGAACTGTACGTACACACCCACAGGAGCCATAACTGGACTCAATTTAACACCTTCTACAACTCCAAAATAAAATTAATCTCTGAGGATTTCACTTTCTAAATGAAACAGAAGTCCTGTGAAGATTTCATAAGGATATTATTTCATAGCTATATTATTCACTTGTGAAAAAAGTCAAAGTTAACTTTTTGTGAATATGAAACATAATTTTTTCTGAGTAAGAGTTGAGTAAAATCATAACTTGCCATTGTTATCTAAGTACATGTATTTAAAAGCTGTTAATCAACTTAAACCATGCAAGAAGTATCTGAAGACTCTTAATACTTATATTTTTCCCACTACCACAAATTCTTATCATATTCAAATTACAGTTTCTTCACTGTGATACCAAATTCTGAAGTTCATGTACTTACTGCAATGAAAATACAACGGCGAAAGTGGAAAGTAAGATCATAGGAAGAAGACAGTATCCAAGGACACTGGCCACGCAGCCAAATGAGACACCCGTCATGCTCATTAGGTTCAGGAGACAAAACATCCCTAAACATCCGATTGCACTTATTCCATACACATAACCAAACTGAATTTTACCAGCCTAAACAGAACAAAAACAAGAAAAATAAGCAGATTAACACAAGTTAGTTAGGTGAATACACAAATAGTGTGTTTGACAGAAATGAATGTTTACAGAATCTTTTTTTCTCTTGTCTCCCCCCTCCGAACTTCTACATTCAAATTCAACAGCTCATTTTTACACTACCTGAATTTCAGAACATTTGTACATTTTAGACAATGAACGGGCATATCTATCCTAAGTTTATATATTCTCATAAACTGATTTTGATCAAAGAATTCTTATTCTTTGATTTGGGCTGCAAAAGCATATGAATTCTTCATGTTTACTCAATTAGCTGATTTTTCTCCGAAGATCAGCTGCAGGATTTTGTATTAGATTAAAATAATCTTCACAGAATTACTCTTCAAAGAACAAAAAAAAAAGTCAGCAACTTCTTGACAAATACAGACCTAAAGTATTCTATTTGCAATAGGCCCCATGGAGTTATTCCATAATGTAAACTAAGAATTCCTAGAAATAACTTCAGCTGAGCTGGAAAGCACTGTGCATGAACCACAGAAAACACACGCATCCAGTAGTTAGGTCCATGCTGCCCTTACAACATTTTTTCTAAAATTCACGTAATACAGTTGTATCCATCTATACAGAGTTGAGCTACTCTAAGCTATTACGGGTTCCAGATTTTGAGGTCTTCCTCCCAAAACCAGCTTGCAAACTAAGTTTATTTATGGTCCATCTTTTCTTTGAATGCTGGAGAAAACAATTGTATCTGCTCCAAACTTTTTAGTTAGGCTGAGCTTGTTTTCCTCTCATGGAACAGACCTGTCATTTCCTTGATAATTTTTCAATAACTAAAAAAACTGCTTTGCTTTACATGGCAAGTGACTGAAGAACACAAACTAAGTAATGATGTTTCAGAGCAGGGAAGGAAAAAAACAAACAACAAAAAAAAAAACAGTAAGAGTCAGGAAAGATCACACTTTAAAGCACACTCTTCATAGCATGACATTTCTTAAGTACCCAATCACACTCTTATTCAACGTTTTTCTTTAAAATAAAAGTAGAAAGTGGTAACTTCTTAGTAAGAGAACATTTGAATGTGTCTAGTATAAAAAGGAACATACTCATCAATTCTACTGGCCCAATTTCCATAATTAAAGGTTATTTATAAAGTAGGCTTACAGTCCCCTTGGTACCAAAACATTGTTCCAAGCTGTGGTAATGTGAGACTTTAGACAAAAATTAAATGCAATGCCTAAAGACACACGAAAACTGATTAAAAATCTTGAAGTTTTCAGTGACAAGGAAGCCTGTCAGTTCCTACTCTGTCGTTTACTAATTGACACTTGAGTCATTAAAGTGCAATCTTATTTCAATTAAGCTCAACTGAAAAAAAAAAAAGAAAAAAAGAAACAGGCTTCAGCATGTGCTGACATATTAAGAAATATTTTATGACCTATTAATTTTAAACTTCCTTGGTTAATATATCTTTGGGAATGTCAGTCAGGGGAGCAACGTACAAAGATAATGGAGCAAATAAATACAGTGAAACGAAACAAAGAAATTATCTCAAATATTAAGCATAATAAAAATTAAAAAAGAAACTCTTTAATGGAAGATATGGAATAAATACACAGAAAATTTAATCAGTCTATTGCTCTGATTCCAGTTAATGCAAAAGCTAACAAAGACGCTTCAAATAAAAGATTCTGTGATTCTGCAGGTACGACGTGCCAATGTATACAAAAAGTACAGAAAAAAATAACAAAAAAAGATGAATATGGGTGTCACACCCCACTTGTGTGACCAAAGTCAGCCACATTCCTCAAAAGCAAAGTATGAAAAATAGTATGCATACCACAGGGATAATCAGCATGCAAAAACCAAACACTAAAACTTTGATTCAAACTCTTCTGAGGAAAACAGGTAGCGACCTCATCAATTTCAATAAGTTTTGTATCAATCCCCAACAGCTCTCCCACTGAGCTGAAAATTCTCAGTCAGGATTTGTTTTTAGAGCCTCCATGCTAAGAAGTATCTTAGGGTAAAACTAGAGGCTAAACTGGCTTATTCCCAGGGTTTTCGGCAGTACTTGAAGCACAAAGAGTAATATTTTGCCATCAGTATCTTACCAGCAGCAGTGTGGCTCCAAAGGCTAGACAGAAAACCATTGGTCCGGCCAAGTCAGTCTCGTTCATGATGCTGCCATCTGCTACTTTTAACGGGTGCAGAACCGTTAGTGTCTTCTGCCAGATGTGGTCGAAGTTGATCCCTAATTCTACAAGTTAAACAAAAAGGATTATGTATATTTATTTCATTTTTCCTTTCCCGCTGCACCCACTTGCTTAACTGATATTTTTCCCTCCACCTGTAAACCTCCTCAAAGTACCATTCCTAGGGGACCAGGGAACTGAGTGATTCCATCTTTCCTCAAGGAGCTGAGTGTGCTGACTCCACAGATTCCAGGTCTCAAATGCTCTGCAGTGACAGGCAGATTTCTACAGGACCAGATAAGAGCACAAGCACAGTATGCTGGGTCAGACCAAAAGTCCATTTAGCCCAGGATCCTGTCCCTGTAAGCGGCCAAAAGCAGATATGTAGGAAAGACTGTAAGAGCAAATCAGGCACATTTCCCAAATATTCTCCAAGCTTCCACTGCGAGGTAGCTCAAGGATTTCTAGTTCAGAGTAGCCTCTCTGTACTTAATTCCCCTTGGTGGCTTTATTTTTTTATAGCTACCCATCCTCCTAATTAAGTCCATTAAAAAGCAACCAAACAAAATTCCCCAACCTTCTTAATGCCTACAACAATTCACAGTTTCACAGCTCCCAGAAAGTAGACATGATTTCAGGCCTCCATCCATACAACTTGGGCATAGTTTGGTGTGAAAGCTGATTGTGAAGGCAGCTACTATTTGTCTAGCTAAAACACTAAGTTTTTTATGGGCATCTATAAACAAATAAATGTTGTGAACAGCTGGGTAGAGGAAAATCATGCACACCTATCTCTGTAACCAGTAATAGTACAGAATTTTTTTCAGTTGTTTCGTACAGAACAATGATGTATGTAAGTTAGAAACTAAAAACAAATACATACACTCTTAATATCTATTCCAACACACCATGTAGACTGTATTCTAGTAAGCATTTCTAAAGTGTTTAACGTTTCTCTTTAGCAATAAAGATTTCAGTTTCAGTTGGTTATGTGATTAGAACCAAGGTTATCAAACTGTTTTACAAAAAAAGGAGTCTTAAGTATTGTTTGCAACAATAAAAAGATTAAACACTGTATGAAATCAGGTTACTAATTTAATTCATCAGTTCTTCCAACTGCTGGGAGGCAGGAATAAACTTCAAATCTATAACTGCAATGCTTGACAGAGAAACATGTATTTCACATACTAAAAAATGATATATGAAATACAGATAATTTAAAAAATTTGGACAAGATATACTACTCAATAGAAATAGTCAAAACACACTCTACTAGAGAATACTACTCAACTTGTTGCCAAATCACGGGGAGTTTTGGATTTGGCTACAAAGAACAAGTTATACCTTCCAATAGCGGAGGCTCATCCTCAAAGTTACTTCCATAAAAAGATTGTGCTGAAGTTGGAGTATACGCCTGCGTTGGCTGATAAATCTGCCCCATGTAGGGCTGCTGCTGTTGCATCATTTCTGGAGGAAAAAATCCGCTTTGCTGAGAATAGTCATAGCCTTCATATGGCCTAAGAAGAATAACATTATATTAGAGACAGATATAACGTTTGCTTTAACTGCCTCCCTCCCCTGCAAAACCTATTTTTGATAAATTAGCAGTATATAACAAACAATCCTGCCTATCCTGTACTCAGGTACAAGCTGTGTGCATCAACTAAAACCCTCATAGACAATATGTATATAACATAGGGCAATTCTAGTTGCACAGTTGCCAGTATCTGAGCAGAGAGGAATTATGAAGGCAAAGACCTTGAGAAACAACACTGCTATCAACTGACTAAATTTCTCGTCCAGGTTGTAGATCTGTTAATAAAAGAATTGGAAAAATTCACCTCTCAAACTTGCCCAAATATTGTCCCTTCATTACCACTCAGGCTTTACTTGACGGCAGGATTAATTTGCTACTTAGAATGTTTATTTGCAGACCTACTACTGAAGAATGGAGTCCTTATATGATTGCTTTGTTCCCCCCATATTTCAAAAAGAAGCTTAGTTTAAAACACAAAAAAGGCTGTTTTCCTCTTCCCTGGCAAAACATCTGTGCTGGGGAGTATTATTACATGCAAGATATAAGAAAGAATTATGACACAGGTATTAAGCACATTATGACATCTACCTTCCAGACATGATGCAGGGGGGGAAAAAACAATCAGGCAATTTTTCAGTTTCTATTTCACATATTCTCAATCATTTACTAATCTACTTACTATATCTAAACATGCTGTAGATTTACCATACAACAAAATATTGCCATAGCACATCTTTAAAAACACTTCCTCAACAGATCTATCTTCTTTCATTGCAAAAAACAGCAATAAGTTGTTCTTGCCACTAACCATTTCCTAACCTGAGATTCCTAGATATTTCGGTAAACACCTCTACAGTAACTTACTTCTGAAAACAAGAACGTAAAAAAAAAAACAAATTTGAGTTTTCCTTCCTTGCCTGTGCAAAAGCTCGGCCCCCCTGCAGCCCTCATCTACCCGTATCTACCTTTCTCAGAGCACCATTACCATGCACAGACCACGTAACTTGCGAGAAAACCTTCAGCCTGACCCTAGACAGCTGCAATGAGCCCGAGCGCTCCCTAGGGCTGCATCTGCCTGCCACGATTCCCTGCAAAGGCCTCGGGAGCTCGCGGGCTTCCTCCCTGAGCACCCGGGCTGGCTCTGCTCCCAGGGGGCCTGGGGACGGGCTGGGCAGCAACGAGGTTTCCTCTCCTTAAGACCCGGGGGGAAGAGAGGCCTTATACCTAGATCTGATCTGCAATTAGATTATTGAGCCTCTCTGACCTGCAATTAGATTATTGAGCCTCTCTTGCCAGCCTCTGCGTCTTAGCCTAAAGCGCAGGGAAACAAGCGCTGCACACGTAAGTGCGCTGGGCTGCGGGGAGCGCCGCGCTGCGGGCCCGGGCCGGGAAGTGGGGGTGG